AGTGGAGCATCTCATTTCTACAATGTTTCATATGAACACACATTACTTTAATAATCATCATTGAATAAACCTAACAAAGTCTTTAACAGGTCACAGCAATTACTATCTGTTGAACCCTGACTACCTTAAATCCTCTAATATTGGCCTGTATTCCCTTAATTGCCGGGTCTCTAATAATGGCCGGTGTCACTTTCGGTGGAGCTAAAAACTGTCTGGACTCGTATACAGGCCCGGGTTATAATTAGAACCAACGATGTTTCTGGGCAGTCCTCAACAACTTGTGATAGTAACATACAAGTACCACGGAGGGGCAATGTTTGCTAATGAATCCAATCCATTAGCATGGGAAGTGCCATCCTTACACAGAGATGGTAGTGGCCTTACACAATCATTCTGATTTGAGAGACAAATGTGATTACCGGTAGGACTGGGGATAACCAGGCAGCGTTAAAATGGCAGAATGCGTTAAAATGGCTTCGTTGTTCTGAATTTCCCTTGAATTATATGATACTGGTAGCCTACTTCCACTTAGCTTATCTCAAATAACATTTTGCTGTGATGGCAGAACAGTTTCCATTAATTTTTTTCAAAACTTTGTTTCACAAGTCAGTTTGGCCAAGATTCCATTCTGTGTCTTTTTATTCGTATTGCCGTGCAGAAAAATTGCAGCTGCTGGAAGATGAATAATTTCCTGTATGCCGTTATGGTAACTGTACTTTTCCGATAAATAATAAATAATAATAAGTCTAGTATTTTATAGGTTCAAAGAGACACAAAATCTATTTATTCCACTAGTCTGATTTGATCAAGTAGAAATAGAGGCCTGCCTCTAATTATGGCCTCCTTCCAATAATGGCCTGGACCAAGATGTACCTGAGTGAAATAAAGGCCCCGGCCTATATTAGAGGATTTACGGTATGTCTAAAACAGTTTGACCAACTTTGAACTAGAACAGTAAAAGATGGATGTTAAACTCTACAATCAGAACATTTAGTTCATTTATTTATTTTATTTTATTTATTTTTTATTTTATTTTAACAGTGTCCTGTCTGGCAATGTGGCAATAAGAATAATTGTCTTGATGCCAAAAAGAGCCCTACAGATCTTACTTTCACAAGTGGAGCAGTGCAGCTATTGCCATAGTGTTCCGCTTGTTTTATGCATATAAATTGCTTTATTATAATTATGCAGGGAGTTTTACAGATTATATGGACACTGCAATGTAAATAGAATAGAAGAGGAAAAACAGAAACATAAGGAGAAAAGATTAAAGAAAGAGGAGATAGAAAGGAGATAATAAAACATTTTCAGTCTGCTTCATCACCTGCAACGAGATGTAAAAAGAACAGCACAACCAACAGACATGGAACGAGACATACAATAAAGTAACACCTTGAAACTATCGCTGCGGTACTATTATTTAATCTGACATGTACTTTGTGTTACCTGAAAATAAGAATGTGACAAAGAACATTTAGTTTAAAACCTCATTCAAATAGTTTTACGACATACCTTTTGAGCAAGAAGTCTGCTGAGTTGGATCGTTTTGCAACTTTACTTCATCATAAATAGTTTCTTCCTCCTTTGCAGCTGAAATACAAAAAGCATCCTTAGTGTGAGGCATTAACTTTGAGTTAATGAGTCGATGAACAAAGCTGGTTTTCCTTAAATAGAAAACTTTGCACTGGTATGACTGGATGATCTGGTTGAATTGTGTCTGTAAACGATGACGGCTTGTTAATTGGCTCTATATAAATATACTGCATAAAATTTAATTTAAATCATTAAAATATAAATACTTATGAATCAATTGTTTCTGTTTTATTTTGGATTGTTACTGCTAGTGGGAAAGAGAAGAAACAGAAGAACTTTAAGCTGAGCTCTTAGGGTTTTAATTTGCTGGATGTGTGAGAATCTACACCAGCGCCGCTCCTAGCTGTATATTCTTTGTATTTTTTAGCTTTTCTATCCTGCTGTAATATATTTACAGGCTGAAAAGACATTTTGATATCATGAAATCGTAAGATTGTGTTTATTGCGGTCATGGGCTGATCATCAGATTAAAAAACATCAGAACAATCAATAACGCTAAATGTTGTTCGAACACAGACTGTTCTTTGGTTTTAAGCTGACATTAAACACACCAATGGCTCTGTGTGGATTGCAGGGCAAATTTCCAACTCCTTAATAAAGTTAAAATGATTAACTCTACTCTCTAATGTTCACCATTTATGTTAGCATGTTTGATATTTTCTTCCGTCACTTATAATGTAGAACGATTCAGAGGATATCAGTAAAATCTATCCACATTGCAAAATAAAGATTACCTCATAAACACAAGAACTGACGGAAGTTTTATCAGTTGAATATTTTTTTATGCAATGCAAAATAAGAGATTTTAAACTTACATTTTGATTGTTGTGGTTTCTTACTTTTGAACACCACTGAAGCATAGTGAATTTCCTCCTCTGACATCTTCAGGTTTACTTTGAAGAATGACTTGACAGGAACTGGAACCACTTTAAAGTTGACTAATAGAGAAGATGGAAGTAATGTTATTTCCTTCCTCCTTCTGTTTTTGGCTGCAGACATTTACATGGAGTGACTTAAGATGACATAACTATTTTAGACACATCTCTGCCAATATCAACAAGGCTGAACAGATAATGGCTGCTTGATTGGGCAGGATTTTACAATAAAATGTTTCAATACAATTATTTCCTACCTCTAAAGTTATCAGGTCTCAGGAGAAAAGTAGATCCAAGTTAAGCTTAAGTCCTTCAAATTAACATGTTAATAAGTCAGAGTGAATTATCTCTGAAACACTTTCTATAAATATAAAAGTCAGATCATCACCTTTCACTTATATTGCAATATCCATCTCCTGTCAACATGCACAGGACATGGAGCTCCACTCATTTTATGAAAAATAAAGATCCCAGAAAGGTTTTTTTTAATCCTTTCTTTTACTCTTTTAAATATTTCTAGATTACAGCAAATTGAACCAAATTATTTGAGCCAGAAGGCAGAAGTTAAATAACAAGAAGAAGTTATCAGAGTTTGTATTCATGAGCTTGTAGAGAACAGCCAAAGTTTACAAAATTTCTTTACAAGTTTTTTACAGGTTTAAATTGAAATCATGATTGACTTTAATGCTTCTTATACTTAATTTGTTCAAATCATACATTTTAGTCCAGTTATTTTAAAATGTAATATTCCTTATTAAATGTTAATGACAGTGGTTCAAAAAAAATACATCAGTTACAGTATGAGGAGAAATAGGATTTTAGCCTAAAGCTTTCATGAAGGAGAGACATTCAAAAATGTTGAGGCGTTTTTTATTATTTTATTATTTTTCCCTGAAAATAATTTAGTAAATTTTTCTAACATTACCTTCTCCTTCACTGTTGTCCATCCACTCACATCACCAAAATGCAAAAAATTTGTGGGCAGATTAATCAATAATAAAATTTCTTTTCAGGTTTTAAAACATTATCTTTCTACTGAAAAATAAAGAGAGCTTAGACTTAAGCTTTCTATTCCTTTTTGTTTCACATCATACATCAATTACCGTATTTTAAAACTATAGTTGAATCCGTCAGTCAAGTTAAGACACATTTCCTTTTAGGTCATCCTGTAAACAATCCATCTCATCCTTTGAACTTAACAGTTTTTCACATGTTCATTCATTTTAAAGTCATGTATGAGAACAAACTGAGTCTTACACAGTAAAACTTTATTTTTAGCGTATGTCAGAATAATAAGAACTTACTTACCAATATAAATCATCCTATCAATGTTTAATGTATTTCATGATATACATATAGGTTTTATGTTCCGGATTTATAACGCTAAAGTTATGGTTAAATTGTTTCAAATATGTAGATTTTTAGAATGCTATATACTTGTGTGAATATGAAATTTATAAACATGTCGGAATAATAAGACTCCCTGACAAAAATGAAGGAGAAATGCTGTTTTATTGATAGATCTAATTCACAGTGACTTTCCAATAAAACCTTCCAGCACAATATCAAGAAAAACTAAAAACCCTCAGAATAAAAACCATCTGCCTGTTAATAGTGTGAATTTATCAGCATCAATCTTTTGCATCCCACTACAAATGGAAATTAGTTTGTTGTTTTGATATGAAACCATTTTTGTTTCCATTATGATAGACGCCTAAAAATTTATCTAGGGCTTCAACAGCACCCTCTGCTGGCCATCTTTAGGTATTGACAACACATTTTGACTAGTAATTCATATTGATGCTAATCAGATTTCATATGATTCAATTTGATATATTTATGTTAAAGGAAGAAGTCTAAAGTAATATTTCTAAACAATGTCTAATTTACTCCAGTGAACTCAAGGAGACTAATACATTTCACATCATTTTTTTTTTTACTTCTCTTGTTTTTTTTTTATGCATCTGTGTGTCGTTACTAACCTCTCCCTCCCCCTTAATGCTAACACCTTTTAAAAGCCTAACCAGGGACGAAGGCTGAAAATTAGTGGTTGCAATGTTTAATTGTACTGTCCCTGTCAAATAAACAAATAAATAAAATAATCAACAGGACCAAATAATAATTTTGTTGCTGTACTGACCAAAGAAAACAGGGTCTCACATTTTTTTATACTCAACATTCATTGTATGTAAAGGTTATGTTGAATTGTAAGTGAATGTGTATCTGTTGAATTAGAATCACCAATAATAGTAAAAAATAAATCAAAAATATATTTTTTTAAATATATATATATATGTATATGGGCTGCTCAGTGGAGCAGTGGATAGCACTGCTACCTTACAGCAAAAAGGTTCCCGGTTCAATTCTTGTCCCGGGGTCTTTCTGCATGGAGTCTGCATATTCTCCCTGATATATAGATATATATATTTAAAAAGAATTCTCTCTCTTTCTGGATTTTAACATAAATTAATGAGCCTAATGTGTAGCAAAAGCATATACAGAAAACCTTCCTTGAGATTTTTCTTAATCTCTTGTATAAATGTTTAGTTCCTTTATTGCTTTTCATTATGGTGAAGCTAATCACAGCACATAAAGCTTAGAATGGAGGAAAAAACATGTGGACAGACATTTGAAATCATAAGAAGTTAGTAGAGAGGAGAACAGAGACACAGCAAAGCATCTCCTTTGGAACATTAATGTGGATTATGGTTCTGTTTTCAGTCTATGCAGCAGATTTTACCACATGTAGGATTTCATATACTGGAAGATGCACAGGGCTTAAAACATGTTCCCTTATTCCATAATTACTCCATATTTGATAAAAAATGGACAACAAATACATACTTTTAATATACTAAGATATCTTTTCTATCGAAAATTAAAAAAACAAATAAAAATTAACAAATGGTAAATGTGGATAAGTAAATAGTTTAACTCAGTCTTAAATAACAAAATTTATGCTCAGGTTTTTATGTTTAAATACATTTGAATCTCTTTTAGAAGTTTAAATGTGACCTAATTAACAGTTAAAGCCTTCTTCTCACAGATCCAGGCGTTCTTCTCATCACAGCTAACTGATCTCCATTCTCTGCCTTGGAGAACAGTCACACACTGACCATCAGTTGCATTGTGTTTTATCCAGCCCCTGAAGAGAAACATCAGTTAGATATAAACTCTTTAATTTGACCATTCATAGAATAAGAATGTTTGTGTTTCTCACGTATTGATCAGTTCAGTCCCGTTGATCCATTTCCATTTTCCTTGAACAGCTCTCAGGCCAATCCAGTATCCAGTAATGCCCTTTATAGCAGGACTAAATGTGTTTTTTATCTTACTCTACGTTCGACATGACAATAACATAGAGAGTGATTTAAAAACTGTATTAATTATGATTAACAGTTTTTTCCATAAATTTTAGTTTAATTTAACACAAGCTGTTTACCTTTTCCACATCGGTTTCTACAACAGTCAGATCTGAAACCTTTCCTCTACAGTCTTCTCGTGCTTCAGTCCAGTTTTTTCGATCGTTTTCGTCTGCATCATTATATGCATAGCAGTTGGTTTGGAAATGTTCCCAGCCTCTCGGACATGGCGAACACTTTCCGTCTTAAACAGCAGAGATAAACAAGAACATGTTTAGCAGCAAAATGTTATTATTGTCTGTTGCTTTTAGGTATCAGGAGATCTATTCTTACCGTTTTTCTCTTTAGGACAGTATTCATCAATGCTCCACTGAGCTCTGCTGAGATTAAGCTCATTTTGAGTTTCCTCCAGCTTTTCTATTTGTTCCTCCAGCTTTTCTATTTGTTCCTCCAGCTTTTCTATGTTTTCCTCCAGCTTGCCGGTTTGATTTTTCGGCTCCTCTTGTTGCATGTTTAGACTTTTGATCTTGCTTTCTAAAACATTGTACACTTTTGTCAGGTTGTTAATCTGATAAGTAAGTTTTAATTGTCTGACCTGAGTTTGTTGCTGAGAGCCGCTAACTTCTTGCTTCTCAACAAGATTTAATTTCAGCTCATTTACCTCAATGTTGTGCACCATACTAAATAAAAATAAAGTATATAGTATGCATTTTATTGGCAGTGTTTGCTTGACTTGAGCAGATCTTTTATAATTAGTTGCTCGTTACTTTTGTAATGATCAAACATTTTAACCGTCTGCTTAAAAGATCCATATCATGTTTCGAAAGCCTTTCAAAATCACCCACAGAACAGGGAAGTTATGATGAAATAATGCCTATAGCTGTCATTTCATTTGGTTTAAGTGTTAGAAAAGTGTTTTTTCACTCATTTAGTGTCAAGAGCTTGAAATACAGCCTTGTTATAACAAATTTATAAGACTTTAAGATCAGACATTTGTTTTTTCTACTAATTCTCTTCATTTTCAGTTGAAATTAAAGTTCATGTTACATTATCCACCATCATATTGCGTTTCTTGTGTACGGTGGGTTGAGGAAAAATGTATTTTAAAACGAGAAGACCAAGAAACAACCTGAAGTTATTTTCTCAAAACAAGGCTGATAATATTATGAGCAACCCTGATTACAACATAGTCAAAAGTGATAAATAAAAAAGTTGATTTCGTACAACATAGGTCTTTTAACGAGAACTCCAAACATCTGGCTTATAGGACTCTAACTTCCATTTTCACTATCTGAATGTATATATTAGTTGATATAAACTTTAATTAATATTTTAATAATTAATAGTCATGTAAAACAGTATTTCACAATAAAAGTCAGATATTTCTGATAGGTACTGAATTTATAAAGACATTATTTGGTTTTGTGACTCTATGTGACTGTCAAAAATATAATCAGGATCATTTTTAAAGCTATACTTACGATAAAAAAGGAATCCTATGATTCCCAACATCAGTGCAATGCAAAGCAAGGCAAACAAACAACCCAAAATCAGACAGTAGAGGCGTTTTCTTTCTGCTCCTTTCTCTGATGAACATCCTGCCAAAATAAAACAACCAGAAGAATTGAATAATTTAATGAAGCAAATAATAAAAAATTTAAAGATGGCTGCTTTCATTCTTAAGGTTTGGACCAGGGGTCATCAGTTCTGGTCCTCAGGAACCCCCATCCTCCATGTTTGAAATGTTTCTCTACCCCAGAGCCGCATTTCAGAAAACAGAATAAGTACAAAACTTGGAACACTAGAAAAACGATCTAGAAATAAGTAAAAATGTTCTAAATTAAGTGTATTTAGCCTTAATCTGAGTAGGTAAATAAGAAAGTTTGCCAATGGAATGAGTATTTTTACTCTTAAAATAAAATAATTAGATAATATGCACTTAAGACAATGCAATCGTTTTTTCTTATTTTAAGTGTAATTTGTCTTGTTCCATTGGCAAATTGTCTCTTTTACCTCCTCAACCCAAGAAAAATTCACTTATTTTAAGAAAAAAATGACTTATCTAGATTTCAATTTTTTTCCAGTGAATATATTCTGGGATAGATCACTGCATATCCTGTTATTTGTTGTTGTTTTTTTCTGCTTGTTTTGTTGTTTCGGAAAAAACAGATAACCATTATGATTCAAGTCTTTCTCATATTTAAGCTGATAGCTGAGCCGCGTCTTTGTCCTGGAATTAGATGTGTTCATTTCTGGGGTCATAGATTTTTCAGCCTCACAATTTTTCACCGGAGTCACTAATTAAACGTAGTCAACACACTTGTTTATACGTAGCTGTTGGAGCTTGGCCTGTTTTTCAGTGTAGTCCTGTTTCTCTGACTGTGACTGGATGGATGTGATCTTTTCATCCTCTGACATGGGAGCTGGCTCGGAGCTCATCTGCCTGGCTGTATGTTTCTTGGGCGAGGCGCCTGTGGAGCTGGTTCACAGTTACCTTTCATATCTCTGCTTATTTTTCTCTGTTCACTTCTGTCTCCTTGAACCCCAGTCGGCCTCTGCAGATGGCTGCTCACACTGAGCCTGGTTCTGCTGGAGGTTTCTTCCTGTTAAAAGGGAGTTTTTCCTCTCCACTGTCACTACAAGCACGCTTGGTGTCAGGGATTGCCTTCGAGTAAATGAGTCGATGCAATCAGCTTGTTTTTCCGAACTAATTTGACTCTATGATCTGGTTGAATTATCTCAAGTTCCTTGAGATGAAATTTGTTCTGAATTAGCGCTATATAAATAAAGTGAATTTAATTGAATGAATAGTTTCAGAACGGATTGCTCTTATGACACAATGAGGACAAATTCTTTTTGCTGTACTTCTTTTCAGCTTCTGACCCACAAAATGGTACCAGAGTTGACTTATGAATCAAATCGTTATTTGAGCAAATATCACCTCTAAAGAGGTGATCGACCACAGCAGTGGAAATACCAAGCATTTTTTTTTAGCACATTCTATAGCGACATCTTCATGCCCTTAAGTACTTAAATGTTTATTGTTTTATTTGACTTTTTGTAATAGATCAAGATCCCATACTGAAATCGATCACCTATGGTGTTGGTTTTCACCGTTAGCAGAGATGGGGGAATCTCTACCCAGGGTGTGGAAAGTTGGAATCAAGACTGAGGTGATTAGAAAATCTTTTTTTCTCTTTGATTATTAAATAATTACGCTTTGATCAATTATATTTTATAACAGAGCTTTGCAAATAGGGAAGTTCCAAAGCATTTGTACTGATTTAGTAATGAAATTAACCCTGCCATCCACAGTTTGGCAAGTTCTGTCTTCAATAAAATGTGATCAATCATTTGAACTGCTTGACATAGTTTTTATGCCTGACGCCATTAATGATGCCATCCCCCTGCATTAAAGGGAAAGTTAAAAAAAATATATTACAAAAGTTGCAATAGTGTCCTCCTCTATTGGTTTTTAAATTAACAGTTCTTCATTTGAGAAAATAACAAGTAGCTCTGACATTTTCACCATAGAGAAGTGGTTAGGAAATATTTACTATAGGCTATTTAGGCTTTCAGTCTTTGCACCATTGCTTACCAAATCAGTGAATCTGTGACTGACCTCATGTTCTCTGGAAGACAGCTGCAGACCTACATTTGGCTGGATTACTCACACCTAACTAGACACAGTCTGACTTTATCTCCTAACCTCGACTTTTAATTTCTGGATTTTGTGAAACAGGGCTCTAGATTGAAGAACCCTGCCTTACACCATTTAAGGTAATAACGCTTCATCATCCATAATTTGTCTCTAAGGGGTTAATGATGTTCTTTTCTCTTGGGATAAGGCAGGACACACTAACATGGCAAACAACCATGCACCCAAACAATCACAGCTAAGGGCAGTTCAGAGTAAACAGTATTATCTCTAAACTACGGGAGGAAGGTGGAGTACCCAGAGAAAACCCTCTGATGAAAAGAGAACAGACAATCTTCCTGTAGAAAGTTTGAAAGCCTGGCGTTTCAACCAAGTAGCTGATGTTTTTGTTTTGTTTTTAGGATCCTTTTCATCAGACCACAAGGGTTAGTGCTCTGAAACTAGTAGACATGTCTCTAGTCCAACAAATTATTTTTTTCCATGGTACTGGTGGCCAATACTTTACAAATTATCAGACAGGAAATGGGATGAAGGATTACACAAGGTTTTAACAAATCAGGATTCAAACCCAGGACCGCTCCATCAAGGATTATGGCCTCTGTACATGAGGAGGGTGCTCTACCTTCTTCAAAGCATCCTGCTGATGACCTGATTTAGGCGTCTGCATAGACACATCTAAAGCTGTAGGACACCGGCTACCATTCAGAGGGAAAGTCACTGAGCTTTATTTAAAATGATTTTTTATTATTAAAAGATAAGTTGTTCAACAACTTACCTTTTGAGTCAGAAGTCTCTTGAGTATTTAGATTTTTCACATTTACTTCAGCGTAAGCACATTCTTCCCCATTTTTAGCTGAAATTATCAACGTATAAAAAAATAACGTTTAGCAAGATTGCATTTAAGAAAAAAACTAAAAACAAAGAAGCTAACAGATGAAGTTTTATCAGTTATCAGAGTTTTCTTCTATGATGCATTAATAAAAAGAATAGAACTTACATATTGATTTTCTTTTTTTCTTATTTTTGAACGTCACTGCAGCATATTGAACTTCCTCCTCTTGCATCGTTTGTGTTAAGAAACGACCTCACTTCTAAACATATAAGCTGCCACTTCTTCTGAGGAAACCCTTATACTCTCAGTTCCGCTTCATTATACGTATATATCTATTTCGAAAAAACACTTTGCAAAGACAACTCCTCCTGACCAAAAGGAACTAAAATCCACACTTGAAAGAGCATTTCTATGCTTATAGTGTAGATGTTCCTTCCTCAGGCTAGTTTGCCTTTATTGTGGATTTCTTTAACAAAATTGTCCTTTCCTAAATGTGGTAAAAAGCAACATGTTTAACTCATTGAAGGCTGTATTATATTTATGAAAGAAAAAAAAATTCTAGTAAAAAGAATGGAAACTGGGCTTATAAACTTGGAATTCATATAAAAAATGGGTAATTACTGCTACAGCTAATTACTGCAGGAATTATGTGAAAAAACAAGGAACTGAACATGTGCAGCAATGATCAAACTTTTCTGCACCAACATGAATGGAAAATTGGGGCGCTTTTTTTTTTACTGGCCTTGGCAACCCTAAGCATGCATTATATATTCAGATTAATCTTAAAACACACAAGATGATGTAAAAAAAAATAAAAAATAAACACCTTATTTAATTATCAGCTTTAATATTTAAACATTTCCATGATACAGAAATATGTTACTCTCCTTATCCTTTTTTAACAGCACCCTTTGACAGGAAGAAAATTACTAAGTGCTTTAGAATCAAATGATCATAATTAGGATGAATATAATCAAAGCTGCCTATAAAAAAGAGGCACATTTTGTGTCTCTCTTGCCTTGCAGCAGGAATATCTTGGGTTTGATTCCTGGTCCAGGCTCTTTCTGCATGGAGGTTG